GCAACACAAGGCCTCCTAGAAACCCTCAGTTGTGTGGGAGTGGCAGAAGAAGGGGGCCAACCATCTCCCAGTTCAGTCCCCCAAATTAGAAGAGCAGGCTATGGAGGAGGAGCAACCCTTGTACTTGGGGGCATATAAGGACAGCAAGTGCATGATCTCTGAGTCAGGGCTTGTGAGGAAGGTTTTTTGCTCATCCACGCAATGCTAAACACAAACTATGTTCCTTGATCACTCTTGTCTTATGGCACTAGTTTAATTTTTACCAAAAAAAAGTGAAAAGAGTTTGGCTTCCATAATAAAACCTAATATGTGTATCGGTGGCATAAATAGGATTTGATGCTTTATGGAGATTCTTATTTAGATTCACAAGCCTAAGCTGGTTAGCAGATATTGGGGCAAGAAGCACTTCATCTTTCAGATTAAACTGGCAGGGTCTCAGTGTTTTCTCCTTCCTCTGGAGTTTTGATCATTTGTTAAGATCCGGTGGGTTTAACACATGCTAAATTTCAAGGGGGATGGGCATTGCTAGATCTTTCTATTTAGCTGTTTTCTGTTTCTAGTCCGGCACGAAGGGTAATTGCTACTTAATAAATGTCTAGGTAGGGAGCTACCCTCCAAGTAGAACCACCACTCAACCCAAAATCAGGCTGATTTTGAAAAAAATAAGTGAACAAGAGTTCAGAAGACAGCCCTGTTTAAGACAGTCATTTTAGTTATAGGCAGATAGAGGAATCCTGAAAAAGCCCTTTTGGCTGTTAGCCTTTTCTAGAGTACAAATGTTCACTGCTAATCTCTTGTAGACAAAAATGATCAGTAACAAGTATCCGTTTACTGCTAACAGAAGCTGAGGCATAAGCATTTCAAGTCTCCTAAGCCATTGACTGGAAACTTGATTATATTTCTGCTGCAGTACAGTCTCTCTTTATTTAAAAAACAAAAAAACAAAACCTGGTCAAATATATTTCTTGACCCAGAAAAAAAGCTACTATACTAGCCTGCCATCCAAGAAGGACTTCTTAAAGATAACTTTGGGATTAAATCCAACAGGCTCCAGGATATGGCATCACCTGGTTATTGCAGGAAGAATACAACTGAACTAGACAGCTTTTTTATTTATGAAAAGACTTTGCTGCTCATGAAATGTGCCAGCTTGAAAAATGAAGTCCTCTTACTAAGAGCAGGTCCAATACAGGCTGTACTGATGGGCCTTTCCCTGACACTGCCATTACCAAAAATGCCTCTGACAGAGACCATCACCCCATTTTGTACGGGCCAAATAAATATCATGCGTCTTTAGAATTCCCCTTAATTACATAAGGGTTTTCTCTTCATTTTCTATCCTAAATTGTTGTGTAATGTTCCCATGTCCTGTCAAACAGCTTCTGCATTTTTCTCTGAGGGTGGCTGAACTGTAATGGTAGGTGAAACTATTCCTGTGTATAGCATATAGGAGTAGGTCATCTTCTGGTGTAAATCAATGCAACTCCATTGAATTAATTCAGCAGATCGATGCTGATTGGCAGCAGCTGAATATCTGGTTCATAATTTCTAAGGTGCTCCAGGAACCGTCAGGATGAAAGGTGCTATAGAAATGTAAGCTCACTTTCATTAATAGTTAAGTGTTACGCACACACACATCAACTGCAGGATAAATCCCAGAACTGTTAACTCATCAAAAAAATCTCTAAATTCTGCTCATGGTCTTTAAAGAGGTGACAAAATTGCAGAGTAAGAGAAAAGTGTTCAAAATAAAAATACAGGCGGCAAAATCAGAGAGATCCGTGCTGAGAAGGGACAAAAGGAGAGGAAATTCTCAGAATAGAAGAAATCAGTTTGGATCCAAGTGAGTCATAGACTCAGTTTAACAGACTACACATAGCAAATATAGTTACCAGAAGCAAATTACAACTTCAGCTCACCCAGTGATGTGTCCAATTACTGAGACAAGAGTTTCATGCAAAGAGAATAGTACAGTAAGTAATTAACTGTAGAGCAAATACTTTAAACAACTGAAAGCATATTACATCCTGGCTGTCACTAATTGTTTGATGCAACATGGAAGCTTTTCATCTCAACTTTTTTTGAACACTATTTTTGTATGGGCTTTATCAGAAAAATTTCCAAACGTAGGACATACTAGAAATGTAACGAGGCAATTTCTTCAAAGTTTTTAGCTCTGCTTTAGTCAGAGGTGGAATGAAGTATTAGACCAATCATGAAGATAGCAGATTTGTAGTCAGAATGATTGTAGGTGACTGCTGCAGTTAAAGCAGGTGTCCCAAATTGAATCATAGCACACCAGAACTGGAAGGCACCTTGAGAAATCATCAAATCTAGTCCCATGCCCTCACAGCAGGACCAAGCACAGCTCTAGCTCATCCCTGATAGCTATCTGTTCACTGCTCTTAAACATCTCCAGTGATGGAGACCCCACAATCATTGTAGCACATGCAATGGGGTATGGTAGCTTGATGGACATATAAGCCAAAAATGTTCAGTTTCAAATGAACAGTTGTTACGTGTACAGCAGTGCACCAGAAAATGTCCAAAAAACCAAAATGCATTTTTCTGGCCACAGGTATAAGGATACTCATCAGCCATAGTGACATAGTGGGTTTATGTAGTGGTTCATTATGGCTATCTAGATGAGCGCTTGTACTCTCTGCTAGGCTTAGCCTAGCCCAAGATGCACATTGTGGACAGTGAAAGAATCACGAAGTGCCATATCAGAGCATCTCGTTTCAAAGAGATACATGCATACAAGCTTGGTTCAGAGTGCCTGCAGCTCTGAGCAACCCCAGGATCAGGGTTTTCCCCTCCCCCATCCCAGCCAAGAAAGTTACAGCAGAGCAGAAGCACTGATTGCTCTCTCTACCCCACAGAAGCTATAGCCTGGTTCCTGCAAGGCTGAGAGACAGGGTCACATGAGGAAGTTCCTCCATTCACCGCAGGGTAGTTGGTGGGTGGGATGGTCAGTTAGACCTGGAGAATTAAGTACATAAGAACATAAGAATGGCCGTACTGGGTCAGACCAAAGGTCCATCTAGCCCAGTAGCCTGTCCCCCGACAGTGGCCAGCACCAGGTGCCCCTGAGAGGGTGGACCGAAGACAATGATCAAGAGATTTATTTCCTGTCATCCTCCTCCAGTCTCTCACAAACAGAGGCCAGGGACATCAATTCTGTCCCCTGGCTAATAGCCTTTCATGGACCTAACCTCCATGAAATTATCTAGCTTCTCTTTAAACTCTGTTATAGTCCTAGCCTTCACAGCCTCCTCTAGCAAGGAGTTTCACGGGTTGACTACACGCTGTGTGAAGAAGAACTTTCTTTTATTAGTTTTAAACCTGCTACCCATTAATTTCATTTGGTGTCCTCTAGTTCTTCTATTATGGGAACTAATAAATAACTTTTCTTTATCCGCCTTCTCCACACCACTCATGATTTTATAGACCTCTATCATATCCCCCCTCAGTCTCCTCTTTTCTAAACTGAAAAGTCCCAGTCGCTTTAACCTCTCATATGGGACCCATTCCAAACCCCTAATCATTTTAGTTGCCCACAGTATTCAAGATGTGGGCATACCATAGTTTTATACAGGGGCAGTAAGATATTCTGTGTCTTATTTTCTATCCCTTTCTTAATAATTCCTAACATCCTATTTGCCTTTTTGACCGCTGCTGCACACTGTGTGGAAGTTTTCAGAGAACTATCCACAATAACTCCGAGATCTCTTTCCTGATTTGTCACAGCCAAATTAGCCCCCATCATACTGTACCTATAGTTGGGGTTATTTTTCCTGATGTGCATTACTTTACACTTATCCACATAAAATTTCATTTGCCATTTTGTTGCCCAATCACCTAGTTTGGTGAGATCTTTTTGGAGTCCCTCACAGTCTGCTTCTGTTTGAATATCCTAAACAGTTTTGTATCATCCGCACACTTTACCACCTCACTGCTTACCCCTTTCTCCAGATCATTTATGAATAAGTTGAAAAGGATTGGTCCCAGGACTGACCCTTGGGGGACACCACTAGTTACCCCTCTCCATTCTGAAAATTTACCATTTATTCCTACCCTTTGTTTCCTGTCTTTTAACCAGTTCTCAATCCAAGAAAGGACCTTCCCTCTTATCCCATGGCCATGTAATTTACACAAGAGCCTTTGGTGAGGGACCTTGTCAAA